GTCTTCATGATGCTCTCTGCACTTTGAACAGAACCCTGAGACTATCACAGAGCAGGTGCATTTATACAGAGACTTGATTACACACAGGTGGATTCTATTTATCATCATCAGTCATTTTGGACAACATTGGATCATTCATAGATCCTCACTGAACTTCTGGAGTGAGTTTGCTGCACTGAAAGTAAAGGGGCCGAATAATATTGCACGCCCCACTTTTCAGTTTTTTATTTGTTAAAAAAGTTTGACACATTCAATAAATTTCATTCCACTTCACGATTGTGTCCCACTTGTTGTTGATTCTTCACAAAATATTTAAATTTTATATCTTTATGGTTGAAGCCTGAAATATGGCAAAACGTTGAAAAGTTCAAGGGGGCCAAATACTTTCACAAGGCACTGTAGATATATATATATATATATGTATGTGTATATATATATATATATATATATATATATATATATAGATAGATATATAGATATAAATATATATATAGATATAATTATATAGATATTATATATGTATTATATATATTTATATATTAAATAGATAGATAATATAGATAACATAGAGAATATTAAAAACTGGAACGCATATTTTCCTCAAATGACAATGAAATGAGTCAACTTTCTTTGCAAAAACAAGACAAGACGACAGACATGCAAAGACATGCAGTATAAATTTAGATAAAAAGAAAATCAGGTAAGACCAGAGAAAACCTGATAAGACAAATAAACAAGTACATTAATCAATTTTAAAAGCACATTCAAACAACATAAAATGAGATTAGACAAAATAAAAGGATTAAAAAAACAAAGCTAAATCAAATTTAAGAAATGTATGGCAACAGAAACAGCTAGTTTTTAAACACTTAAGTTTTACATTTTGTCTCCAAATATCTGTGTCCTGATGAGAGGGACCTGAACTCGCACTGCACAGGATAAGACACGTCTTTTAAAATGGATCCAGATATTTAATTTCCCCTTTATTTAACCAGGCATAAACACTAAGAACTAATTCTTATGTACCGGTTAGGTTAGATTTATTTGTCATGTGCAAAATCAACACACGGTCAACAATGTAATGAAGGATGCTTAGGATGAGAAGAACCGTCTGGACTCAAAAAAAAAAAAGAAAAAAAAAAAGAAAGAAATATCAAATCATGCAGCAAAAATACTAAAAACATACTAATTATATATACAGTATATATAATATATATATACTAACATACTAAGAAAAACATTAAAAAATACTACTAAAATACTAAAAAACAAGGCACCAAAGGTGCAGTGTGATTCGGTTAGCAGTGAGGTTCTTTCAACATCATGGTTCTGTTGTTAGTGTCGTGGTCTTGATGCTGCGGTCAGCAGCTTGATGGTAATAAGGACCGCAGCAGCTGCTCTCACAGACCGCAGTCCAGAACCGGGTCCAGCAGACAGAGAACATCCCAGGTTTTCCCCGTTGACCCGAACAGGTTCATAGAGTTTGGTCCGTACAGGATGGAGGATCATGGAGACAGCCGCCATGACAGGCCACAGCCTAGGCCCGAGGCTGGAGGGGGCCGGGAACTGAACCACAATGGCAGGATGGCAAGGCAGCAACACACAAAACTCCACAAGTGTGTCGCGGTCATACCCGTACCGTGGGTGTGCATTGTAGGCGCAAAAAATGTAAAAAAAAAAAAAATAAACAAGAATAAAAAAGGTTGAGTCGAAGCGGAGCTCCCGTCAGTGCTACCATTCTGCAGCGCACGTGACGTCACACCTCAGCGCTGGCCTGGAAAACTTACGGCACCTGGTTTTCCCAGGCGGTCTCCCATCCAGACATCCTCTTTACCTGCCTGGAGTACAGGGATTCTAGGGAATACACTAGTTTTCACTACTGTACACTAATTCTAGTACAGGGACTATACACATTTGACACTTTAAATCAAATCAGTCATCACTGGAAATGACAGCTGTAGATTTGAGGTGGTATCTTTATTTTTGTTTGTGCTAATATGAAGAACGCTGGTGGAGACGCATGCATAGAAGGCACAAATAAATCTATCTCACTGGAAAGCAGTGGTGGTTTCTGATATGTGTGATACAGGCAGCTGTCCAGGGCGGCATCTTGTCAAGGGTGGCATGAGCGCCCGCCCCTATCGTCCCCCTCAAAAAAATAAAACACATTATTTCACGTCCCCTGTCTAGCCTACTACATATTGGTTCCTGTCACCCACTTGTGAGGAGTGGGCGTCCTCTGCCAGGTGCAGGGCGTGTACATTCTGCTGACAGGTTGTGGGAGAAGAGGAGGGGAATTCTCTCGTCTCCCATGCTGGATCAGAGATGCATCTAACAGTGCACATCACAGCATTGATCAGTCCCAAACAAAGAACATTTCATTCATAATATTGTGATGATAGCCAACAGTTCACAGATTGTTTGTGTGAAGAAAAAAAAAAATGCAAAAATGAATCTCCACACGGGCAGCACGGTGGCGCAACTGGTAGAGCTGCTGTCTCCCAGCGAGCAGGTTAGCCTTGTTCAAATCCTGGTCTAGGGACCATTCTGGGTGGAGTTTGTATATTCTTTCCCTGCATTACTGTTCTGAAGATTAAAATTCTTCTCAAACTGAACTACATGTGAAGTTAATATTAGACTCTTGTATAAAAAGGGAACGATCCTCTAATGTAGCTTGGACCGTATTAAACAGCCATTAACTGGAAGAGGAGTTGGTTTGTCTCCTATTCTGAATATTTCACTAACTGGACATATATGTAGGCCTGTTTGTTTAGTCTTAGCTGTTAGCTGTTAGCCATTAGCTGTTTGCTCTGTCAGCATGACAGCCACTAATTCTCTTCACATTTCTTGGTAAAGTTACATTACCCTGCTGTAGTTACTCAGTATTGCAATAGGTTACTTGTCAACATGTTTCATAGTCTATTAAATAACCACTGTGAGGCAGAGAATCATGAATGATTGACACTGATATAATTGATGCAGGGGGAGGTGCCGGAGGGGTTGTTCACCCAGGGCACCAAACAGGCTAGGACCGCCTCTGCTGGAAAGGTTCTGGTTCTCTGGAAGCATTTGGAGGTTTTAGCTTGTAAGCATTGAAGAAAGACACCACTTGATCAGGAAGCTCTGCCAGGACGCTCTGAGCGAGGGACAGACTGTTACCCTGTAGGGAAGATGTGACACCAGTGATGACTACAAAATAAACAACATATTTCTCTTGTGGTTTAAGTGATGCTTACATAAAACTGTCTGAACGGCACAAACTGCACAATGTCTCTGGCAGCAGCTTCTCCCGCAGGTGAAAGCAGCAGCTTGTTGTCGCTATCGAGGAATTCCATGGCGCTGAAATCTGCCCTGCCAACTCCCACTATGATGACAGACATGGGCAGGCGAGAGGCTTCCACGATGGCAGCACGAGTCTGGTCCATGTCTGTGATGATACCGTCTGTGAGGACAAGCAGCACAAAGTATTGCTGCACGAGGACAGAAACAAAAGGATCAGAAGTTGAAGAGCTGGTTTCAGACCACACACTGACAAACTGGTGAAGCGCTCAGACAGAGGAGTGAAACACACAACACAAAACTGATTCTTCCCCCAACAGCTTACTCCAAAGTGGAACAAACCAGTTATGTCGGTGCTAAGATGGTGTCTTTGGCACGCCCCCTCCTCCGGTGCAGGCCCTCTTCCTCGTCGACAGTCATGTCA